TAATTAATATATTTCGAGTTTCTAGGAAGCATTTCTAACTGTTCTATATGCGTACATATACTCTGTATATATGTCTTCAATTTTGTTTGATTGAAGAATTCAAACCATGATTTGAAGCCTTTCAATTTGTACTGACTCAAGGAGCCATATTCCTTGGGAGATACCAAGTGCTTTAGATTTTTATGATAAGTATATATATTAAATTTTTGTGCTATACAAATAACGATGTCAGATTTTCAAAGCAAAAAAGATTTGGCGTACATCTTGGATAATTGTTGGTGTGAAGTTCTTTGAGTTATCCGGTGTTGCACTCTTATAGTTGTGAGTAGTGTCTGAATTATAGATTTGGTGGTTCTCTCGAGAACAACTTCACGTGTTGGAGATGTAGAAATGAATGTGAACCCTAACTCAAATGTTACAAATTCCAACTCGCAATGTTCTTGTCAAGTAGAACGAAATCCCATTCTTCATCGACCTTCCAATCATCTTCTTGTAGGTAAGTCTCCTTCTAATTTCCTCATTCTGGTAAAGCAAGTACATAAAACAGGAAATTTTTCAGCTGGAAATTTGGAAAAATGGCCAACTTCATAAAACCATTTCAAAAATAACCCATAACATAAAATTAGCTGTTTTTACCAAATTTTTACTGACTTGACAAAATGCCATTAAAGCCATTTCAGACAAATTAAACCATTTATCACTATTTTCCCTCTCAATTTCTCTCTCACGCATCCGTTTGTTGTACTTTCGATTTCTCTCTCTCGCCATCCAGCTCTTTTTGATTTTATTGATTTCTCTCTTCTGCATCAGTCTACTGTACTTTTAATTTCTCTCTCCCACCATCTAGCTCTCTCCAATTTTGCTTCCATTACCATCCCTTTTTGTATATTTCTTGTCATATTGTCTTTGATTTACAGACTCAATAACAAAGATGACCTCAACGCATGTTTTTGAGTTTATTGATTTAAATTCATAAAACCTCAAAGTTGATAGGTTGAGGTTATATGTCAAAATATGTAAATTAGAACACTGCTTAGAGTTTTTACACACCATGCCTACATGTAACAACTCTAATGTACTTGACATGTAACAAATTTATTAAATACGACGTGGTTTAAACATGATATGTAACTTTGATCTCTATCTTTGCATTTTATTAGGACATAGACTCTTTGAGTTAAACACCTTAAATATGGTATATAACAACATGACGTGTAACTTGATCTTTTCTTTATATTTCACTAAGGCATAAACTCTTGGAGTTAAATACCTTAAACATGGTATGTAACAACATTTTTTTTCTATATGGCATATAAAAATTATATTTTTTAAACATGATGTGTAATAAAAATATTTTTTAAATATGATTTGTAACTTGGTTTTTATCTTTATATTTCACTACGACATAAACTCTCAAAGTTAAACAGTTTAAATATGGCATGTAATTACTTCTTTTCTCAACATTTTGTGTATCCTAGTCTCTATCTTTGTATTTTACAAAAATATAAACTCTTGGAGTTACCTCAAACGTGGCATGCAATAATTTTTTTTAAAATATGACGTGTAACAACATTTTTTTGATCATGACATGTAACAATATTATTTTTTAAATATGGCTTATAACTTGGTCTCTATTTTTGTATTTCACTGTAATATAAACTCTTAAAGTTAAATACCTTAAACATGATGTGTAAGAATTTTGACTAATAATAATTAATATCACATCTGCATCATGTGAATATAAAATGATAAGTGATATTTTGACTAATAATAATTACTCAATAGTTAACTATAAGCCTTTATATGATTCAAGATAAAAGTAGATGAACTTGATTGAATATAATTGAAAAATAAAAACTTATTTAAATTATTTAGAAGATTTTTTAAACATTGTCTAATTTACACATGATATCTTGATTGTAACCCAGGACAAAATACACACTTGTACCGCAAGAAGCGATTGACACTCTATACAGCTGCATTAAATGGTGACTGGAGATCTGCTGAAAGTATCATAAGAAGTGATCCTACATTTCTAAATTCCAGCATCACAGATGATTACAAAACAGCTCTCCACATTGCAGCAGGAGCAAAACAGACAGCTTTCGTGAAGAAATTAGTGAATTTGATGCAAAATCAGGAAAGAGACTTGGAACTGCAAGACGAAAACGACAACACTGCCTTCTGTCTTGCAGTCATAGCTGGGAGTGTGCCCGTTGCAAAGATTTTGATGAAGAAGGTTCCACAACTTGCATTGATTCGAGGTGGTCAGAAGTCGACCCCACTTCTTATTGCGGTTATGTTTGGACACCATGACATGGCCGGCCTTTTATACCGGGGAACCGAAAGTCATTTGGAGCATCTAGAACTGGAGCATCTACAGGATATATTTTTCACTAGTATTGGAACTGATATGTTTGGTAAGCATGCACAGTTTTCCCTCCTTTGTATATATATTTGTAATTT